AACAATTACACAAAGGTTTGACCATGAAACTCTGGAGTGGAGGTGTTGAATATAACATTAATTAGCTAAGTGAAAAATTTTATATTAATCATATATATAATTATTTACCCACTGCAGCAAGATGTGGCACAAGGCCAAGTTTAAAGTGGGGTATCTAAGCCCGTATGCTCGGGCAAAAATTCCCTAGAGACCACCTGACATAAGCCAGGTAAGTATTAATCATATATATATATATATATATATATATATATATATATATATATATATAAAAAGAAAATAGCTGCTTTTATAATTCTTCATTACAAACTACAAAGTTTAATTTTATACTTTTATACACAATTTTAAAAACCAGTAATGTCTTTGTCCTGTGTGCATACACACACACACACACAAGAAAAATAAAAAAGTGATGACACCCATTTTAAAAAAATAAAGACAAAAAAAAGAAAAAAAAATTGTTTTAATACAAAAGATGCAAACAGTAATTTTACAAAGAATAATTTACATTGAAGAAAGAAAAAAAAAAAAAATGAAGCCTCAGCTTAAAATTGTGTGTGCCAAACAAAAAATGGCTACAGATGAAAATACAGCTAGAGGTCAAAGATGAACCATTAAGATTTTACAATAGCAAAATGCATTTTAATTTATGAACTCAATAAATAAATAAAAAAATATTGAAATAAACTGTATTAGTTGGACAGCTTAGAAGCTAGATTTTATTTCATTTTATATTTGAAACAATTATGTTTCAAATTCAATAGATGAAAACTATATATATTTTGTTTTTGAGAAGCTAGTGAAGATAGATTCTGTCCTAAAAACATCCTCTTAATTTCTGGAAGCAACTCAAAAAGCCATAGTTGCAATAAACTCAGAATAGAGCCACTTTTTTTTTTTTCTTTTTTGATAAAAACAGATTTTTTTTTTTTATCATTTACTCCCCACCGACCCAATGACTGATAAAGTGTTAAAGAAAAGGCAAATGTGCTGGTATTTATGGTTCAGTAGTTACAACACTGGATTAGAAAGCCTGGTTGAAGCTCCGGAACCAACTTGTTGCCATAACAAGAAAAACTGATTTCTTAAAAAATTTTAAAAGTAAAACAAACTTTAGTCAGCCTTGTACATGTAATATCTAAAATGTACATTTGATATAGTATGGTGTTAATAGCATAGTGATAAAAATGCTAGCAAGTGCTGACAATTTTAAACTGATTGGAAAATAGTTATTCTGTATAAATGCCAAAGACAAGAATTTAGGAAGGAAAAATCCTCTTTATTTTTTTATATATATATATATATATATATATATATATATATATATATATATATATATATATATATATATATATTAATTATCCACACTGTCACCATATCTTTAGGTTTGTCACATTGTCTTCTGCTCATGTGTGCTTATAGTTGGTTCTATTGCGGCTATATGCTCATAGTTTGAAAGCTTGGTTGTGCTACTGTTACAGTGTAAACATGGCCACTCCATTAGCAGTGTGCACCAAGAAGGAACAAAGAGCAGTGCTCCTATTTCTATGGTCAGAAGGTGTATCAGGGTCTGAAAATCAATACATTGACAGTGCACTACCACGTAGAAGTGTGTAAGAGTGGATCAAGAGGTTTAAAAGTAGCCGGACAAGTGTGACGCATGAAGGAGCAGAGTATTCATCAACCACCACCACCACCAATGATAAGATTCAGCAAGCTTGAGAGATGGTAATGGCAAACTGGCATGTTATCTTCAATGAGGTAGCGTGTTCTCTGCAGATTCACATTACTGCTGTTTGTTCCTCCTTGGTGCACACTGCTAGTGGAGCAGTCATGTTCACACTGTAACAGCAGCAAGAAAACTGGCATGATCAAGCTCAATCATATGACCCATAATAATACCAACTATAAGCATGCATGAGCAGAAGGCTGTGTGACAAACCTAAAGATAGGTTATGGTAAGAGTGTGGATAATTTTTGACTTACTTTCCCCTTGTGAGTGTTTTGTTTTCACACACACACATTATATAAGAATAAATAAATTTTATTTATAATCCAACATTATTTTTTAGTACATTAAATGTTATATTTAGAGGCTTCCTGTTTGTTAGTTGACTTTTTTTTTTTAAAAAAAATAAAATAAAATAAATAAATAAAATCTACAGTCCTGTGCATTTGGGAGCCAAAAATTTTGATTACAACCCTTGAATGCATGGGCTGATTAAGACAGATTACACTGAGAGAAAAAGAAAAAAAAAAAAAGAAGCCTACTCAAACACTTGTAACCACTAAATGTAACATCTACAGTAAAATATATATATTATATGAATGAAAAGATGAGGAAAACCATACTTAGTTTAGCCAACACATTTCGTCATTCGACAGGTTATCATGACAAATGTGATGCAACAAGTATATATTTGACAGTTACTGAAAATTTCCAAGTTCATAAATATTCAGTAAATTAACTGAAAAGATTTGGGTTTTAGATCCTAGATTACATCATATAGCATCTTCAAAAGGAAATTTTTAAATTTAAAGATGTGCAGTAACAGGTTAACTGAAATGTCTAGGCATTTAGACCTTAAAATATGTCATTTAGTATACTCAATAAAAAAAAAAAAAAAAAATTGGGGGATTGAAATACAAAGATGGACGTTTGCATTATACATCTCCAAAATAAAACCATCACATTTGCCTTGATAAAGCTTGTTGAATGATGAAATGTGTCAGCTAAACTAAGTATAGTTTTCCTCATCTTTTCATTCATTTTGGCTCTTCTACAGATATACACCATCTGAGAATATCTATATAAAAATGAAATGGATTAAGTTCGACAATAATTTAATATATTTTCTGTTTATATGTTATTTTTATAGATATAATTTATTTAAGTAAATGTTTTGTTTTTAATTAAACAATATTAATTACATTTACCAGCCTGATTGTTCGAGAAATTTTGTAGAAAAATATGCATTCTCCAACGGGAATTGAACCTGTAACACTTATGGTGAATGGTCATATAACCTGATGTGCTGTTACCATTCAGCCACAGAAAAGAGTCCGGTTAGCAAAGTCAGAATTAGTTTATAAAAATAATGTATAAACAGAAAAAAAGTGTATATTATATATATATATATATATATATATATACACACACACACAAGTTAATGAATTTTATTTTTAATCTAACATTTTTATATTACTTGAAATATTATAGTGGACACTTATTTGAAAGTGACTACCATAATAAGGTTTGAAGTGTGTGTTTGTGCAAGTAATTTTCCAGTCTGATTTAATATTGACAGAAGTTGTGCTTACAGCTGTCATAGAAGATTAGACTGAAGACTATGATATCACCGTATTGATTAAATGTGACATTCTAAAATTTCATCCCACCCTCCAAAAGAAAAAAAACGAAAAGCACTTTCTCACTTCAATCATTTTCAAATTCACAATAACAAAGCAGTTTAAACACCTACACAAAGCAAACTTAACAGATAAAGTCTACAAGTCATCCTGCAATTAAAGTGGATTTTTAAAATTTATTTATTTATTTTTTAAATGAAAGGTATTAAGATGAGATATAAAACTATTATAATACAAATGTTTCGCTAAGTACTTGACAGGTTTTACCAAGAGTAAATCAGCCTTCATGAACAAAGCAGTTGCATCTGAAATAAATCCATCTTTTGTACACCAAAGCAACACCAGATTTCCAAATGTCATTATCATCTTCCACAAGGTATGGTAAATAAAATCTCAGCATCTTTAACGAATTTGTTAAAGCTCACACCTTTGAGGAAGACCATAACTAAAACTTTTTTTAGCCTTATTTTTTGTTTTTCCAAATATTGAAGGAAAAAAAAAAAAAAAAAAAAAATGAAACTTTGCCATGATCTGTACAGCATGTAATTCTAGGACAAAACTTCAAATTGCTAATCTTTATATGTAAAGAGCTATATGTAGAGTTCCTGAGCTGTATATACAAAAAAAAAAACAAACTAATACTGGCATGATATCGGTTAAAATTATGTTTACAATCACACATCTATATATTGTATGCACATGTACACCCGCATAAACACATAAGTATTATGTATTCACATGTATATACATTCATAAGCAAATGTTCAAGCAAACACATTCATAATTTATCACTTAAAATTAGTTTTTCTTACAACACCATGATTTCTTAAATTATTACCCATTCATTATCAATATTTTCTCAGGTCAGTAAATAAAAGGCCAAATGGAGAAATGGGTGTCAGAAGACTGTGTTGCACTAATCCTCAAAGAGGGGGACTGCTTGCATGCTTTGGAGTAATCAAAAAAAAAAAAAAAAAAAAAAAAAAAAATCAGCATTTAAAATCTTACCAAAGCTTTAATGCATTGACCTCTAACCGCAGTAGAAAATACACAACTCTATCAGACTTGAGCCAAGTCATATTATATTTGTTTTTGACTAGATAAAGCATTGCTTAACTATAACACCATAAAAATAAGTGTTTCAATGTGAGATGAAAAAAAAAAAAGAAAAAAAAAAAAAAAAGAATTATTTTGGAATTCCCATGCATTTTTCATGAAAGCCAAGTAATTCTTAGTAAATTCTCTTAATAAAAACTGCTAAGTACTAATTATACAATTCTTCAGATATTTTCAGAAAAATATTGACAGCCATTTTTTTCCTCTCCTTTTCCAAATATTTCATGTTAGTTTTTTTTTTTTTAGTTAATTTTTATTTTAATAAGAAAATTACAACTTACATGACAATTTTTGTTTGTTTTTTGTTTTCGATGGTAAAAAAATATTTGTATTGAAAAAAATTGTACCAATCACATCAATAAATATTGACCAGTAGATGTGTTAAGTACATGTGAGAAAATACAACCATTTCTGACAGCAGCACTGCCAAGAATTAACATAGCTAAAAATATACAGTTAGCAGTTGATATCACAACATGTGTCGTCATTATGGGCCTACTGCTGAAGCAAAGCAGGTGTCACATAGATGCAGCTTCCATTGACATGGCTATTGCCTTTTTTAACATTTCTTCTTCACTAAGTTCATCTGAAATAAAAGAGAGAAGAAAGTAGCCATCATTTGCACCAAGCTAAATAAACATTTTATTAAAAACAAAAAATTCTTAAGAAACTTGAAGAAAAAAAAAAAAAAAGCTTTACCATTTTAATTTTCCTCCCATAGCAATTAAATTTGGTATCACCAAGGCATTTAAAAAAAGAGTATTTTCAGAGTATTTCATTAGATTGTGACTTGCCCGCCCCCCATACAGCAGATATTTTATTAACTCTCATTGAGTAGCAAATCACATGAAAAAAATCCTTTGTATTGTGTGGTAGATCATAAATAAGTTATAATTGCTTTGCTACTGAAAGGCTAACCTAATGATTTATATCAACCTGTCAGTTTTTACTTTTAGAAGTTTATATCAGTAAAATTTAGACATTATTAGATAGCTGTATATAATATATATATATATATATATATATATATATATATATATATAAATATATATATAATAAAATGGTGTATCAGAAATACTTTTGCAAACCTTGGGGCAGATTCTTCACACCAAAAACAAGGACAAAAGTCCATGACTGCAAATCCTTTGTTTTTGAGTTATTAAGTTTAAAGAATATTTACAGTAGAAAGTGCTGTGATGTAGACAATGTTACATTTGTCATTCTTGTACATTTGTCGCTACTCTGTCTTCAACATTTAATGTGTGTAATACCAAGTTAACCGAGAAGTGTTCCATTCAACAAGAGCAGGATATTCATTTCATGAGCAGGTAGATATGATTTTTTTTACATACAGCCACATGAATGGTAATGTATGCAAGGTTTGCATGGCTGTATCAGATTGCATTTCCAGACCAAAGGCAGCAGAGTCATACAACCTTTGCTGTTGTTTATCATCCAGACCTGCTAGAGGATGTACCCCTGCTAATACAAAGATGCATGTGGTTCATGCATGATGGGGCTCCAGCACATTTTAGTCACATTGTTCACAATGCACTGGCTGACATCTAGATAGATAGATATGGATATGGATTTTTATCTGTGAAGCCACCTAAAACAATTGGTCTGTGCAGCAGACATTAATAATGCAGAGATGCCTCATCAATGTGTTATGAGGGCCTGCAAAACCATTTGACACTGTGTGGGATTATTTGAAAGAGTGTGCCAATCAATGATCTAACAAGTGCATGCATGTGTAGAAGCAAGTGGAGGACATTTTAAACATCTGTTATGAGTTGCTGTGTTGAGGTACAATGATGGCCTTTTGGACATTTCACCTTGTTTTGGTATCAGGAACCCACCCCAAACATTTTTGATACACCCTGTATGTATGTATGTATGTATGTATGTACACACACACACACATATATATATGGCTGCCGACTTGTTAAAAGAGTGTTGTGGATTGGAATCAACCCAAACCAAAGAAAAAGGCGAGAAAGGTTTTTAATATAAAAATATAAAATTGTTATATCTCAGGCTGTTGAGATAAACAAAAACGAATAAAAATAAAAGACAAGTGTACTTTAACACATAATAAAACAACTGTCCAAGAACATCGTGGATTTGTTTAGATTGAAACTATGAATTCCATGTGCATGTCAGCTTGTCACCATATTCAATTCAGAAGTACTGAAATAACTGTATTCTAAATTATCGATAAGGGGGAAGGAAATTAGCTTTTCCTAACACCTCCCCTTTTTAGCCTTGTGCGACTTTTGCAAGGAATTTAATTACAGTGTGTTTACTTCATAGTCGATGTGATCTCCTTGATGCACTTTTTGCTGGAGTCTTGTATTTGTCCCTTGGCATTAATTGGGAACTTTATTGAGGCAGTTCAAAGGTGTCCAATAGAATGTCCAGCGGTAAAGTGAAGTTTGATTTAGTCTCTGAAAGGTTGGATGATCATAATTGGTTCACATTGGCAACATTTCCAGAGCAACATATGTGTCCTTGGATGGATGACATCTATGTGAAAATGAACTTTATGTTTCATCAGTGCTTCTACTGGTGAATTTCCATTAGGTGTGTTTGGATTGAGACTGTGGCTTCTGAGGAAGATTTAATATTTCTTGTGATTCCCTCCTCTTAGAGTTTGAGGAGTGTCCTCTTAAAAGGTATCTACAAAACACCCCACTTGACCATTTGATTGTAGATGAAAAGATGGTGCTGAATACCATTCTGTGCGCAGAAAGTTGAAAATGTAGCTGAAGTGACAGCATCATTATCAGAAGCTAGTATCCATGGAAATCCAGACTGACTGAAGGTTTGCTTTAACCTAAGAATTGTTTCATCTCAAGTGATGTGATTCATCTGAAAAATTTCTGGCCATTTGCTGTAAGCATCAACAAAGGTGAAATAATACTGCCCCTTTATGGGACCTGCAAAATCAATGTGGTGTGACAAGGGTGAGTCAGGGATAGACCAAGAACTCAGTGTAGTTTTCCAGGTAGATTTTGCTGCTAGTTGGCAATTGCAACATCTGTGTACCAATTCTTCAAACTGCTTGCCCATATTTGGCCAATAAACATAGTTGCATTCTAGGGATTTCATACAGATAATAAATACCTTGATGATCATAATGGAATTCCTTGATCACTCTTTCATGTAATGAAGATGGGACAATCAGGTGTTCCGCAAAAAGGAGACATCTATTGACTTCTGACAATGAAGATCAACACTGAAAGAATGACTGAATTCTTTTTTCAGCATATACTTCTGGTCATTTTTGTATGATGGAAGCATATCACTTTTTGTAACACTGGATCAGAAGCAGTGTCTTCCTGGATCATTATAGAAGTGACTAGTAATCTTTTTACAGTGGATGCAAGCAGTGAAGTGACTTCTGGCTCTAGAAATACTGTTGCAATGACAAAGTCCTCTGGTACTTTATTTTGTACAGCCATGAGCCTAGTTAATGCATCAGCATGGCCAACTGTATTAGTTGAATTGTATTTTATAGGAAAATTGTAATCTAACAGTATAGTAGCCCATCTTTGCAGACACTGGGATGCCTTTTTTAGATCCGAAAATACTAACAAGAGGCTTGTGATATGTAATCAGAGAGGAAATGACGTCTGTACAGCATTTTATGGAACTTTTTAATAGCAAAGACTATTGCTAACGACTCTTTTTCAATTTGACTATAATTACGCTCCGTAGGTGTCAGTGATCTGGATGCATGAACAATTGCCTTTTGGCTGCCATCAGGAAAAATGTGAGAAATAACAGCTCCAGTACCATAATCATCATAAGCATCAGAGACTACAATAATATCCATAGATGGGCTGTGTGTGAGCAAAAAATTAGAAGAAATAAGAACTTTACCTTTTTGAAGGCTGCCTAGTATGAGTCAAACCACTTCCATGCAACATCTTTTTTCAAAAGTTTGTTGAGGGGGGTGCACAAAGTTCAGGCTAAAAAGCACTGTAGTGGCTAACCAAGCAAAGAAAAGAACAATTTTGTCACATTTGTCAGTGCTGGCATATTTTTTTTTATTGCCAAGTTATTTTCTGGGTCTGGTGGTCTACCATTTTTGTCAAAAATAAACCCAAGATATCCGATTTCTTCTTGGAAAAATTCACTTTTCAGCTTTAACACAGAATCCATGTTGTCAAATTCAGGTGAAAACAAAAAATAAACATTGCAAAAGTTCATCTCGAGTTGCACCTACAATGATGACATCATCAATAATTGTTGCAACTGGTCAGCATGGTATCCATTGTCTGTTGGAATATGGCTGGTGCTGGTTTGACCTTGAAACTAAGACTGTTAAATCTGAACAATCTTCTGTGAATGTTGATAGTAAGGAGCTCTTTGAACTCTTCATTCACCTCCAGTTGAAGAAAAGCATCAGAAAGATTGATTTTTGCAAAGCAAATTTCACCAATCAGTTTTGCAAAAAGACCCGCTGACACTGGAAATGAATACTGATGTACATCCAAAGAAACGGTCGAGTAATCAGCACATATCCAGACTTTTCTATTTGTCTTTTAACAACTACATTAAAAGCTGCCTACCTGGAGTAATTAACAGGCTCTATTACACCTTCTTGCTGATGTTGCAGTTCTTTTTCAACCATATTCAGAACAGCATAGGGTACTGCCTTTTTTGTCTAAAAATTGACTTAGAATCTGGTCTTAATTTCAGAATTCTTTATGTCCGTTCTGGTGACAAATATTGCATTCATATTTCTTAAACGGACAAAAGCATACATAATGCCAGTCACCACAATGCCAATATTTTGAGGAAGGTTTCTTTTCATCATGAGGTTGTTTTCTCACATGAATGTTGCTTGTTATTGATAAATCCTTTCTTTTTTTTTTCTCTTGAAATCAGCATAATGTCTCTTTTGATGCTTAATAAATTATTGCATTCAGTGGTGAGGGCTTTTAATTTAATATCTTTGTCCTGATCCAGTTTTAAAAGTCTGGTGCAAACAACATTCATTCAGTCACTGCCTGAATTCCAGTTTAATCCATTACATTCATTTACCTACTAATACCTTTGAGAAAGGTATGAATCCTCTTCTTCTCCCCCTAGCTATGGGCAAATAGCAGGACAGACCAGGTTTTATAGCCTTGGATGGCGACTGGTCTATCGCAGAAAGAAATGGCAACCTATTGTGGGGAAAAAAATCTGCCCCGTCAGTCATGTATTGAAAGATACATGATCGCTTAATAATGTATCACACATGGCACATAACTATGTCAGCTTGTCACTATGCTCAATTAATCTTTAGCACACCAAATTCTTTTTGGGATTGTGCCTCCTGCAACTGCATTTTTTTTTTTGAGGGCACAAAAAAAAAAAAAAAAAAAAAAAAAAGAAAGAACACTTACTGTTTTAAAACTGTTATAGCTTTCTTTGTATTGTGTGTGTGTATAGATTTTATTTTTTGTATACTAATAAAAGAATGGATGAGTAATATTTTTATGTAATGCTTACGTTTTGCATGCATGTTTTGACTTTGAAAACAAAAACAAAAAACAAACACAAAATAAAAAAAAAAATACATTAACAAATTAA